AGAGAGCTGTACGGTTGCGCACGCTGACGCCCGTAGGAGTGTGCTGCGTTTACGTTATTGTGTGGAGTTCGGAATACCGTTCGCGCGGGTACTGCCTTTCCTTCCCGGTCCTTTTGTTCAGCCTTTTTTTCTGGATAGATGTACTTTTCCTGAAAAACTGGGTGGTGGTGGATCGCGGCGATGTTGCAACGCTTAGGTGTGTTATCTCCTGTTGTGCAGCCTGTTCTACCCCTCCCCTGAAGACGTAAATTGGTCTTGTTTTTCGAATTTTTTTCTCCATGTGTTTTCCAAGGCTGCTGTGGACTTCACCTGCACAGTCCAGATAAGGAGCCCGCTTTCCCTCCCTTACCCTATCCCTCCCCCTTTGCTATCCTCAGCTTCTAGGAAGGGGAGGGCACCAGAATATCTGTCGGGGGGAGCGGGGGGTGGCTGGACCTTGCTTGAGGCCCCATATCTCCGATAAAACCCTGTTTACTGGCTGATAGCATATGTGAGGTGGAGTTTGACTTTCTCTCTCTCCTCCTCTCTTGGAGCCCCCAGCTGTGGTCAGTAGTTCCTCATCAGTCCATCCCCTTCCCGACGCCTCTCACAGGAGACTGAAGGGGAGAGGCGTCAATATCCAACGCTTCACTGCTCTTCCCTAGCATCACCTTTATTTCTCAGCTTTTTTCTCTTTTTATGCATTTATTTTATTGGTTTTACTTGTTTCTTGTTTTGCTGAACAGCAAATGCAGGAGATTGTTCTGATTTTTTAAAAACTTCGCTGTCCTGCCTGGCCCTGAATAGTTTCCCTGAGACTAAGATTAGCTTTTGCCACTAAGGAGGCAGCAACAAAGGGAAATTAATGAAGTTTGGTGCGGTCATGTGTTAGAGTGGCTTCCTGAAGAGTTGGAAAGATGTCTGCACTCACTCCGAGTTCTGCATTTGTTACCTGCAGTGATAAAAGCACTGTTTTTATAAGCTGGGGGAAAACTCGTTTGCCCCTTAGCGATATTGACTGCAACACAAATCATTCTGTGCATAAACTGTCAAGTATTACACATACATGTCTATGTATATGGTATATCCATATATAAGGACATGGTCTGACTGGTATACACAGAGCTAAATGTTCTCCCCTGCTTTGATGCAAATGTTTCTGAAATGCAAAGAGGCATTATTTTATTTCTATGCAAACCTTGGCCTTTGCTCGCTTGCCACTGTTCCTGCCTCACGGTTTTGATGATGCCCGTGTATGGAGGCGGAATACTGAGACCTTGAAAGACGGCTTCAGTGCGGCGTTGTGCATGCTTTTCTTAGCCGCTCAAGGCTCCTGTGAAGAGGGGAATGTTCTTGCCCCTTTACAGAAACGCTTCCCTCAGTTAACGGAAAAATTGCCATAGTTAAAAGACAAATCAAGAATCAATTGCCTTGAGTTTACTATTTATTTAATAAAATATACGGAAAGTACATATATTGTGTTTTACTGCAGAAAAGTATCTTGGTCTAGTTACAGCTGTAACAATGAGGTGTTTTCTACACTAAAAGGGATATGAATGCCTTTTTTCTCTCTCTCTGAGAATAATTATGTAATTTTAATGTCTGCTTTAAAAAACACCACTTAATTTTACTCGTTATGAGTTTCCAATTCTTTTTATTGGAGCTAATCGTAGTGTCACCTAATGTGCAACCAAACAACTTGCAAACCTATGATAAACTGGGCAGTGGATTCTCTTTAGGAATCAATGAGGATGTGATGCTGCAAACTAATAAACTTTCTGTATATAGTAGCAAACTGTCCAAAGAAGAGTTCACTTCTGCATACATACTCTGCTTATGCAAGCATAGAGGCTCACTGCAACTGAACTGTATTTTGGGATGCCTCTGCCGGGCTTGTTTGAGGTTCGTCTCGCCTTTTGATGGAACTCGTTTCCTTTAACCCCAGCTGGGTAATAAAGCACCGCTGTCAGAGGCTGTAGCGAGCTGCATTTCCTGACAAATTCCTAACTGCCTGCCTTGTGAGATCTAGTTCATGAACTGGATGTGTGCGATGCTGGTGGGTACCGTAAGGTGCAATAGTCTAATCCAAAAGTGACAGCAGTGTGTATCGTGCTTGGTAGCTCTGTGTCCAAAATGAAGTCATGCAGTCTACAGAGCAGGTGGTTCAGGTTTTGGTCCGAAATCTTGGTCACAATGACTTTGCTTGTTAAGAGCTACTAGGTAGTCTCCTCTAGGCAAAGAACATTTTCACATCAACAGGAGGGAATTTCATAAGTTCAAAAGTTGGTATATTTAATCAAATTCTTTCATAAATTAAAAAAGGAAAGGAGGTGAATTGGTGAGTTACACATTCCTGGGTATGTCTTAAAGTACGTATTTAGAAAATTAAACTGTACATTAAGTTGAGACAGAGGCATATAATTCAGGTCCAAAATCAGAAGAAACTTTAAGTCTGGAGATCCCACTGGCTTAAATCTGATTGTATGACAGGCATCTGAGCATCATGTCCATGCTCTTGCAACAGTAGCGTGTTATTTTCCAGCAGTCATACGCAATGTTTACTTTGGGATGGGGTCCGTAGCGATGCGTTCAGCCACAGTTTTCCTAGACTGGCAAAAGGATGATAACTATATTGAATTGCTGGTAAATAATCCAGTAAGGGATACCTATTGATATAACTGAGTGGTAAAAAATGAGCTGAAACATCTTGATATATTCCTGTATATTTTGAAAGTCAGATTTCTGGCAGTCTGGTGTTACTGACAGATGCTTAACGCAAAAGATGTTTTTGGTCATCCAAGCTAAGAACAAGTACAGAAAAGTGGGTGCAATGCCTTTTTAGAACGGAAGTTTGTTGTTGAAACATTAACTAATTCCAGAATCACAGCCTTGGGTCCTCTTGTTGGCACATTGGTATTATTTATGAATGCAAATAATTCATATTATTTACAGTACAGTAACTGTAGTTATTGCTGAGATGGAGCAATAGGACCAAGTAGTTAAGCACATAAATATATTTTGCCTTTCCTCAGCTTAGGAATATCCTAAGTATCAAAATTTAGTAGCAATAAGCTTTTTCTAAGCATAGTTAGGGTATAAATGATGGAGTGGTGCTTCTTCAGTTAATAAAATTGTACATTGCACCTCTAACGACAAGGTACTAGGATCTAAACACAATTAAAATTATATCATATACTAAACTGTATGTAATGAAAACTGAATAGCTTTGATGACCATTTGTGAAGTTAGAAGAGTGAAGTTTAAACAGCTTTATATTTCAAACCAGTAGGATTTTTACCTTCTGCCTTAGAAGTGGTTTCCTTAATGAGTTTAGTTAATGCAGTCATTAATGAAAGGACTTCTTAAAAAACCCAAGACTGAAGGCCCTAGCCTTTGTTCTACCTGAGGTGTAAGTCTTAGGCTGGTCTTTGCAAGCTACTCCTTCCCTCTTCCATTTTTCGTTGCTGCTCAGAGGAGAGTCGGGCTCTGCCAGGTGCCTGTGCCGGCAGCTTCCCCATGGGGCTGTGGGACACTTCCCTCCCTGATTTACTGCCAGGGCACTTGGGGTGTTTCAGCACCTGTGAGCTTCTCAGCTATGCTCGCTTCTGTTGAAGTTGAAAAGATAAAACTGTCTGACAACTTTTGATGTTAGGCTATTAATCACAGGGTAATACATTTTAATCCTTTGCTGTCATCGTGTTATTTAAGTGCTAAGCCATCAGAAAGACCTGAACCAACAGGTTGATTTTCAGACTGAGATCACGTAGCTTCAGTGTAGGGAGTTATGAGGATTTCCAGTGATACAGATTTTACAAGATCAGGTTCTGATGCTCATATTTAAGTTTTTCTTATATCTACTCTCTCTTAGTTGATTGATTATGCTTCTTACTATGGTAAGCCTGAAGGAAAAACAGGTGCTATGGCCTTTAAAATACTGAAATATCCTTAGCCCTGCAGAATTTTCCCTTTTGCCTTTCCTCTCACCTTACCCTCTTTTCCATCCTAAACCTTGTTTTCCACCTTTACCTTATAGAACTTACTCCCCACCAACTTACTGTTCCTACTGTACTTCTGTGACCTCTTTCCACATTGTTGATTATTCGAACATGGTTCAACAATGGCACATATACTCTTGATGAGGATTCTCTGACGTTTAGTAGATAAGAACATACACCTCACACATCTCATCAATGAAGCTTTTCTTACTATTTTAGAATGACATTTGACATTTTTCTCAGATCCATAGGATTGATTTACAAAGATGATGCTTTTCAGCTGACTGCTGGCTTTGCATGGAGAGAGGAAAGTTAACTTGAGATCACTAGTGTTGATTAACAACTTCTTTAGTGTTTTAATCTCTAGCTAACTCTGGTGAATGGTGGTGCAAGTCTGTGCATGGAAGATCTGCTCTCATTTATCAGCAGGAGGTGGCAGAAATCCAAATCTCGTGCATGCACTGCTGCCCTCAGTGTTCCTGTTCCTTGCTGATTTTGTCAGTGCTACACTAGCGTGTGTGTGTTTGTGGATGTGTGCGCGTAGACTTTGTGGTCAGAGGGTGACTCTTCTGTTGTGACAGCTGGTGTGCAGGGCTGATGCATTGGGAGGAGGTGATCGGTTGTGTGGTGATACTTAGGTTACAGGCACTGCCATCAGGCCCCAGGAGAGTCCACACACCACTCAGCCTTTTTATCTTTTTTGACATCTTCCCATCTCATTCAGCATAGTCAATAGGAAGACTTAATGAGACATGATATTAGGCAAAAATGACACATTGAATATTTATTGGGGGACAGTGCCTGTTGAATACAGGATGCTTGAGTGAGTGTTTGTTGAATATGTCTTGTCCATTGCTGAGTCTTAACTGTGAACAATTAAATATCTACCTATTGCATGTGGCCTTGTTCAAAGGCCGAAAACAGTTAGGCACCATGCAAGGTAGATAAAGGGGTCCTGGGAGCTGCTGGTGCAACACGGTGAAGCAAAAGTAGCGGAGTATTTTGATCTGTGTTTTTCTGATGCACCCTTTTTGAATTTAAAAGATGCAAACATGAACAATTCAAGGAGAGTCTTTTTTCATATGACGCAGGGTGCTGCCATCAATTTAGACTTCTCCTCCAATGCATTGCAGGGCCTGCCCACTGGAAGGAGGTTTTTCCTGTCGCTAATGGAGACCGTCAGTCACCCATTGACATCAAAACTGAAGAAACCAAGTATGATCCCTCTCTCCGTCCTCTAAATCCCAATTACGATCCGGCTTCTGCTAAAATAATCCTTAACAATGGGCACTCCACCAGTGTCGAGTTTGATGACACTGTCAACAAATCAGGTTTGTTCCTTTCCTTGTTGGTGTCTTCCTCCACCGTTTCCCAAACAGAGTGCATACAGCCTGAGTGTGTCTCACTGCCACATAGGAGCCCCTCATAAACAGAAAGGCTTTGCTCCTCTGGATGAGAGATTCCTTTCTTCCCCATCTTTCAGCATGATACAATGCGGGAACGTACTTGGACACGCGTTTGAGGTTGCGTTTCTCGGAAAGCGCTAGGATTCCCTTTTCACGGGGATGGTTTGATCCACCCCAAACAGCTAGATAGTACCCGCCCCCCTGTTTGAACAGTGTTGTGTACAATTTTTCAAATGCTACTCTCTCTTACTGCAGATGAATCCTTTGTGTCTCATTACAGGTTCATTCCAACCGAATCACTCAAGTCTCTTATCTGACTTTAGCTGCAGGTTTGATTGTATATACATTTTTCCCTTTTACAATCCGTACTTGGACTTCTTGAGTGAGGAAAGAGCCAATACAGAACAAATGAAATATATCCCAAGTGATCCCTTTTCTTCTCTGAAGAGTGTTACTGTCCCAGTCTTTTCTAGGAGTAGGTAGCTTCCCTTTTTGCAAGCAATAATTCTTATTTAGGAGTGCTCTGGTTTAGTGTAGTCTTTGTAATGTTAGTGCTTTCATCTCTGAAACCTTCTCTTGGGTGGTAGGCAAGCTAGCACACCTCCCCTTGAAACTGTAGGAGTGCAGTTAGTACGAGCGATAAAATCCTCTTGTGGTCGCATGAGGCTTAGCTGCGGCTCCAAGCCCATATGGTGCATTCATAAGGGTCAAAGCCCAAGGGGGACTAATTTGTGATCACCCTGTCCCTTAGTCATGAGGAACTACTGGCTTATAGTGGCAACAGGGAGAGACCTAGGTGGAGACAGCATTTTACTTTGCTTTCCCGGACAGTCTTTCTTTAATTCTTAAATGTCCTGTGGATACAAGCAACATAGGATGTTGCCTGAAAGCCATCAGCTGACCATCAGTGATCTGGTCTGATCTCATGTGTGTCAGATGCCATGGGACTCCCCAGAATTAATCTCTACTTCAAGCCTAGTAGGCATGGGTGAACTAAAGCACATCTCTTAGAAAAACATACAATCTTGATTTCAAAATTTCCAGCGATGATGAACCTACCACAACCTTTGGTAAGTTGTTCTAATTGTTAATTACCCTCATGATTAAAAAAGTCAAAATCACCCTTTATTTCTGGTGTGAGTTAGACGAACTCAGCCTTTAAAATTCCTTTTCTTTTTTTTTTTTTTTTAAAGTAATAAATACGAATATGAATACACCAAAAACCTCTTCCACTTTCTGATTCCATCGGTGAATTGACAGAACCTGAACACAGTATTTCTGTAGACTTACGCTGGTACTAGAACAGTGGTAGCGTGATCCTCTTTTTACTGCTTTCCTCAGGCCATATCTCCAAGGATATAGTTCATGTCATGGCAAAGCACTGACAAATGTTGATCAGATAATTAACAAATGTAATCCCCAGTCTCCTTTAAGAGACTCCATATCTTGTACGTATGGACTAGATTCTTCAGTCTACATACATGGCTTTACATTTTGGCTGTTATCATGTCTTACTTGCCAAAGAATTCAAATCCTTCTATATCCATAAACTGAGTTTTTCACTATTTTCTCTAATATTTGTCACTGACAAACTTTATCAGGCTTTTTTTTGTTTTCTTTCAGGTCATTGATCAAAAAATACTGAATTTTCTAGGGCCAAAATTTGGCCTCTTGGGCACCCCTGTGAAGTAAGCACTCCTGACATATGGTGGTTTTGTTAAAAAAAAAAATTAACTGGTACTAAATAGATTAGCATATTTTAATACATTATTAACTGACTTCCATATGAACTATTTCTTCACTTTGGCCAGCACTGAAGCTGGGCTGTCAAGCCTGTAACTGTTTGTGTAGTTGTGTTTTTTCCTCTTTGGTACCACATTAGCTCCACGCTCTGAAATTGGTCTATTGATGTTTCAAAGACCTCTTCTTCCAGCTCTTTTCAAACTTTGAGACACTGATATATGCTGTAAATAGCTTCTGACTAGCCTCTTCCTTAATTGCTGTTGGAATGGAAGGGTTTTACCATCACTGTATGACATGGCACAAATACATCATCAGGCGATTTTCTACATTTTTCAGAGAAGTGCTTCATTGAATGCTGATGCATTTCTACGTAATCATTTTCCCTCAGCCAGTTAGAACACCAGTCTTTACACATTTCTAGGATCATTTTGCTCCAAGCTTTCAGTCCTTGAAAGAAGGAATTTGTTTTAGGAGTGCCAATTCCCCACTCCCTTTCTTCACTAGGTTTGTAGGCTCTGTGAAAGCATGTTTTTGAGTTGAAGTTTTAAGGAGGACAAATATTTTTCTCCACAGATAAACAGTTCCAGTTCCTTTTCATTAGCCAGGCTACTTGTGTTAGCAGATAGGCAACTTAAGAGATTTCACTTTTACCTTTATTTGGTAGTATTTTGTTCCCAGTGAAGTTTAGGTGTTGGGCTAAATCTAGAAGTGAGAAAAAATGACTGTTGTCCTCCTCAGTGCTCTTAATTTAAAAACCATCAGGTTAAAGCTCCCATCCTTTCCCATTAAAAACTTTATGGTGAGCCAGTAAACCAGCCCAGACTAATTCCTAAACCCTCAGAGGAAATAAGGAGCCAGGAGAGTTGGGTGGTTTATTTTGCAGTGAATAAGGAGTCTTTCTGAACGTGATTCACATTCAAGTCTCTGTGCAGAGGCGGTTTGGTTCTGACTCTGATTAGCAGAAGATGAACACTTGCAAAAGCAAAACAATGAAAAGCCCATTCATATGTGGGTTAAGTTGAAATAAATGGCTGATGAAGTGTCAGCGATATTGCAGTTGTACAATGCGTATGTAGTGTTGGCTTCATTTTATTTATGTTGATATATAATCTTTTTTCTCTGACTTCAATCTGATGTAACTGGATCTAGTTGCAAATGAAGGAAGGAGCCTTGAAATTTTTTTTAAGCTCCACCTACTTTCCCCCAAATTTCAAAGAGGAGAAATTCTGTTCACTTTATGTTTTTGTGATCCTCCCCTTTTTTCATAAAACCTGTATTTTAAGCTGAATTTCTCCATGATTCTTTTAAGTACGTCCAAGAGAGGAAGCCACCTGCAAAACAGAAACATTTTTCCATCTTCTGAGAAATATCTAGCCCATGGCAAGACAAACCTGGTGATAACAACATGCCCTTCAGTGGACCACAACCCACTAATCTACACATAAATGCGATTTGGAAAGTCATATCCTGGACAAACGAGGGTTTCTGTAGCACTTGAAAGAAATTGGAAGCCGTCTGAGACAGCTTTTGAGAAGCCGTAGGGGACGGTCCAAAGACCACAGTCTGGTGTGAAGTTGGAGGATGTGGGTGACAGCGGCTCCCATTCCTGCAGTGAAGCCTTCTCTTCTGCTTGGGTTTCCAGTGCTGACCGGGGGGCCGCTCAGCGGGACCTACAGACTGCGCCAGATTCATTTCCACTGGGGGTCCAACGACGAAGCCGGCTCCGAGCACGCGGTGGATGGGATGAAGTACGCGGCAGAGGTAAGGCTTTACATGGGCTCATCTGGACCTCTAAGCCTGTGAGTAGTTTTCCACTGTAAGAATAATGTTGCCCCTCCTCTTCCCGCTTTTCATTCTCCCCCCATTTTGTCGAAAGATGAGCGGTCTTCCTGAAGTGTTGCATCTTTGGTCCTTTCTCAAAGGAGAACCTATTTGAAAGCTTTGGAGAGGATTAAAAAAGGAGTACAGAAGACAAGAGCTTGATAAGAGCAAGATTTAATGTTCAAGAATTTTTTTAAACTTTGTCTTTCACTGCCTCTTCCTTGGAGAATATTTTCAAAGTCAGCTTCAGTTACAAACCACAGATTTATTTGATTTGGGGCCTGTGCAGCGTAAAGTTTATGTCAGACTTAGAAGCGTCGCTTTTTGTGGTGCCTTTAGCAGTGTGACGGTTATGACTTTGAGAACCGCGCCTTAAAATCTGTGGGGTGCTTGCTGTCTGTGGAGGTACTTACTGCCTTTCAGCAGAGGCAGCATGCCAGAGGGAGAAGGGCACTCTCTGCTCTGGCACGGAGAGTTCGCTCCTGCTCTGTCTCCTGTGGTGCGTTTGAGTAGTCTGCTGTAAAATGTATTCTGTATCCGACTCCTCTTTGCAAATGGAAGTAACATGGAGTATTGTGATGAGACTGGGATCTTTAACAGCACATAGTTCAGATAGTGAAGAGTTTTCTGGGGTTAAAAAGAAGTAAAAAGTATAAAAATATATGTTAATGGAAAAATAAAAGGCATAATACTAAAGAAGAAAAAAAAAATGAAATGTATGCAGAGTGGTGTGATCAGATTTTACTGGAAATGCTGTAAGAGGCAGTGGTCAGAAAAAAAAAATCAGTTTTCTAACACTAATGGGGAAAAGTGACATTCGCAGTGTTTAAAGGCTTATGTTTTCCACAGGAACCAGGTGAGATGGAATGTAAAGAATTAATAGAGGTGCTTTAAAACGATTAAGTACCAAAACCAAATTTCTAGCTGAGAAAATATATATATGTTTCCCATCTAAGAAACCAAATGGAAGGAGAAAATATCTCTGAATTTCTAGCCAGTCTAAAAACCTTTCCGTTACCTGTTGGTTGGGTAACCCTCCACAAGAAGCTCTCTAGATGTCACTTTGGCTTTGGGATAAGAAATCCAGAATTAAGATCAAGGCTTCTGAGCATTGTTCACACAAAAGAAAATAATACCTCAGAAGGAGACGTGAAGATGGTTTCAGTGCTCACCTTCATAAGGAAGATGTGTAAGATTCAAGAAAAATCATCAGCTGAGTCGAAGAAAGAATTAGTGTACAGGTAAAGACGACTGCAAGGTTCAGCCCCCTAAGCCTACCGGGAAGCAGAAGGGATCCATGGCTCCATGCTTTGTGACAACGTATGGTCTGATCAAGGTCTCTTCACAAGCTGCAGTGACAGAGCGGTGGTAAGACGGGATATATTCCTTAAAGAGAAGTCACAAGCCATTGAGAATGGGGCTGTACCCAAAAGTGTTTCACAGCTCTGCTTGTCTGGGGGTTTTGATTTTTAGGGGGGTTGGTTTGGGGGTTTTTGGCAAAGCTACGAGGGAGTGGGAGTGGGCTTTATTTAGTTGGGGGAATTTTGCTTTTTGTTCTTTGTTGCTTTTTGCTTTTTTAAAATCCACAATAAAAGTCAATTCTGACTGAGAGTATCTGTTTCCTTTTTGTGTATGTAAAAATGTAATTGTTTAAAAGTTGTTCAATGTAGCTTTTGTGAACTTGTAACAGTGAGTGGTGCAGGCGCTGTGAGCTCCAGGAAGCTAATGCATCTGAGAATGGTTTAGTGGACTGTGTTCTCTTCCCGGTTTCATTTATAGTATTTTTAGCAACTTTCCTTCAAGGAACTGTGAAGCTGTGAGTGAGCATATGTTTCACTGTGAGCGTACATGTATTGTTACTGATTTCAGTGGGGTTCCTTACTTGCTGGAAGTAATGTTTCAGCACTTTAGAGTCCAAATGCTTAACAAGCATTAATTATACCCTGTAAAACCAAGTTATGGCTCTGTTTTACAGATATGGAAAATCAAAACTCGTAGAGGTTAGGCAAGGATTGAGATTTGGAGTCAAAATCTTCACACTCCTAGATCCCTGTTTCAGCCACACAACTGTGTTGCTTCCTGTAGCAAGCATTTAAAGCAAGTTCCAGCTTTCCTAAATTGCTCTTACTTTAGAGGTCTCAAAGTACTGTATTCCAAAAGCAAGCTTTTTTTTTCAGGGGTTCATCCCAGTTGAAGTCATTCAGTGGAACCGCTTTTCAGCACTCCTAAAGAGTAAAGTTCAAAGTCTGAAAAGATGGTCACCAATTTTAGAAAAGCCAATCCTATGCCCTGTTTGTGACCCTCTCTTTCCTTAGCTAAGAACTATGGGTAGTCAGAGTTGCTAATCCACTGAGGACCTGAGAGAGTAATTAATGATTGTGCAGTACTTAGCCTTCAGCGCTGTGTGAGTGTTTGTGCTCTTTCCAGCTTGGCAGTCGGACCGTTGCTCAAGGCTGGGACGTCCTGGCGCTTCCTGGGAATCAGGAGCTCCTGCTGCGGAGTGTGGCCAGGATTTAGGAAAACTGGCTTAGCAGGAGGGGCTGAGGTGGTATGGGGGTAGACATCACGGGCTTTGCCTTTCCCCGCCTGGCTGGGGGGTGTCTTTAAGCTGCTTAAGCAACTTCCATAGTACAGTTCCAGAATAATGCGTGTTGGAAATGCAAACGCTCAAACCTGAGTCGATCAAGCTGCTTGTCAGTGCTTCACTACTGGCAATCATAGAAAATGACATTTGGAAAATATCAAAAATGAAATTCTGATGTTCAGTTTAAACTAAACAAGGGAAAAGGGATCAGTGCAAGTTTAATGTGTGTTCCTCTGCCTGTTTTCTAGCTATTTATGTGGCTGATTAACGTTACTAAAGCTTGATTAAGCAAAAAGAGGAGCAAACTACTAATGACATCCTCATGATTTTCAATCACTTTTTAAAATCAGCTATACTAAAAACAGACTGAAAAGCTTTAGTTATATAACCACAGGATATCTTGTCTTAGCTTCTCTGTTCAAAATCTGGGGACCCAACAGCAGTTTGGCAGGCACTGTGGTGTGCTGGTTGCTGCTAAATTTTGAATAATCCCAGCCATTGGAAATGCTTTGGCCATTTGTGTGAGCTACATGTTTACCAATTTCATGAAATACTTGCATTTAGAAAACTGAATGGCTCTGAATACAAGAGAGTGAAGTAGAGTATCAAAAGCAGTAAAGCTGCAGTATTAATTTGTGATTATTTGAGTTCAGCGGGAGTTGATGCTGTCTGTGTCACTTGCTTTTCAGCTTCATGTGGTCCACTGGAACTCAGAAAAGTATTCCAGTTTTGTTGAGGCAGCTTGTCAGTCAGATGGATTAGCAGTCATGGCTGTATTTCTGAAAGTAAGTAAAAAACACCTCAGCCCTCCTAATAAATCTGCGTTGTGAGCCCAAAGGGATAATGGTGATGATTGGTATAATTATTGTTAAAGATATACTTATTTTATATGGGCATTAAATTATACTGTTTCCTTCATACTGTTTGCTTTCCCTTGAAGATTAAAAATGTCAGATTAATAGATTTTCAAGACAGTGAGGCTCTTCAGTTTGCCTAGTCTGCACTCCTGTACAACAGAAGATGTGGAACTTAATTCACATGGCCCTATATGGATCCCAATAACTTGTACTTGACTAAGAGGTTTCTTTAAGAGGGTGATCTGATTTGGTTCGAATGCTTCTTTAACGGTTTGTTTCTGAGCTGGTACTCTCTTCTGAAAAATAATAATAATAAAAACCCACCAAAACCAGAAACTGGAGGTTTTCCTTATGATTATTATGTACATCTTTGCCTTCTGTACCTGTTCCAAGATGAAATTAAACTCTTGCAACAGCTTCACTGACTACTGTAACAAAGACGCCGATGGAGAATTCACACAAACCATGACAAAGGGTAGGGCTTTGGTCAGATCTGTGGTTTCTGCCTGGCTGCCACAGCTTCCTGAGCACAGGTAGTGCTGGTGCAGCCAGTGAGCCATTCTGCGCAGCCATTGCAAAGAACTACTTCAGTAATTCTGTCTTTCCAGTTTACATTTTAATGATTTAAGGAAAGCTTCACTGGATTTCTTAGCACGCAAATTCTACTTGGGATACATAAGAACAATATTTTCACTGTTTTAAGCAACTTAAATTTCAGGTGCAAGCCTGCAACTTTTCATATCCTGCATATAAAGCGAGAAAAAGAAATTACTTTTATTCCCCTGCAGTGTAAAGTTTGTGGGTCTTTTGCAGCTGAAATAATTACTAAAAGTAGCCAGAATAAATACTGTCAGCAAGAGAGTGGATCTTCTTATCCATCAGTATTATTTCTAAGAACCAGCTAGTCACAGGCTCGTAGTCACAAAATCCATCAGATCTTACAGTCACTTAAGTAATGTTATATAAAACAGTTTCATTATACATTTGCTTTTTGATTATTTATTTTTGCTATTTTTCTCTGGACTTCAAGTATTTCTTTTTTCTTTGGTGTTAATAGATCGGTGAATGCAACCCGCAGCTGAAGAAGATTACTGACCGCTTGGACACCATTAGAATCAAGGTGAACAAATCCTTCTAGAAGAATACTAATACTGGTGGTTGCTTTTGTTGTCTTGTTTTCCTGGTAACCTGGCTGCTGGTTCCTTCACCTTCATGTTCCTTAGTCCCTAGTTTCATAGCCATCCATATTTAACTCTGATTTGGGACAGTTTAGAAGCATTCCTGTTAGGTAAAGTTGAAAACTAAGCCGACAGAGAATAATTTTTGTACAATAAGAGATTAGAGGAAAAGGCTAATTCCTCACAGGACCTAGTCTCTGACAAATCTGGTGCTATGAGAATACTAACAGAAGAACATACTTTATGGAAAGCTGTGAAAAAGGTGAGGGGAAGGTTTTGCTGAGGTACAGGGTGAGAAACAAGCTACTGCTTCAGAGAAATCAGCCAGACTCACAGCATCACGTTTCATACTGGCATCTCTGGCCTGGTAGCCAGAGCAGGAAGAAGTGGGCCGGGGAGGAGTGAGCTAGAGGGGTAGGGGGGGTGCTGGTAGCAGGACAAGGGATCTCTTGGGTTATTCTGACAGCACCATCAATTCCACATTGAAAGTCTGACATCTTCTCACCTCTCCGTCCAACCTCCGTCCCACAGCCATTTGTAACTATGGGGAGCCTGTGCTAACACGATGCCTTTGGTGGTGTCCTTGCTGGCAGAAGACCTCATCAGAAGGGTGCTGGCTCACCTGCTGTGGTCATCCAGGGCATTGCCAGCCCACCTTATAGTGGAATAAGCCCTACCTCCTTTGGCATGATTTGTCTTGGCCTCTTGCCCTGTTTTTTTCTTCTTTTTAACTTTTTGTAAGAAATCATATTCTAAATATATTCAATCTAGAACCACCATGAGCTTTTTTTTCTTTCCAGGGTAAAAGAGCACTATTCACAAACTTCGATCCTAGCTGTCTGCTTCCCAAGTCCCTGGACTACTGGACTTACTTTGGGTCTCTCACTGTTCCACCTCTGCTTGAGAGTGTCATCTGGATTGTTCTGAGAGAGCCCATAAATGTTTGTTCTGAACAGGTATTTTTTGATTTTTCATTGCTATAGAAATGTTGCTTTTGTAAGACTTGAAATTGTAAATGCCACCCAAAAATATATTTTTTTGCAGACTTTGGCATTGCATACCTTATCAAATTTTCAAAGGACAAAACGCGCCTGTCAAATTTATCCTGACTTCTTGTTGCCTTTCTTTGCGTAAGAGCTACTTGTTATCCATTTTTAAAAAAGAATCTGTGTGCTCTGAAAATTAACAATCAAAAAAAAGCCACAAGGAACTTACAGAAAAAAGGTTCCAGTGACACTTGGAAATTCTGGAATCGATTAAATTATTTGCTTATCCTGCTTAAACCTCTTCTCTGTCATTTTTACTTGGCAGATCGATAGTAAATGTCTTCTTGCATTCCAGATGTGTAGAACTTGGTGAATTTACTGGAGTAATGAAAAGGAAATACAGTTGTAATAAGTTGGTTTTTATGTCAGGCTATCTTAGGAAAAGTGTGATAACTAGGTAAAAGAGCATACTTAACATTTCTCGTTAAATTAAGCTTCATGGTATATCTTAATGTTGCAACAGTGACGCCCAGTGGGCTGATCATCTTAGGTATAAAGAGTTTTTCCCACGGGAGACACTGAAGTATGTCAGATCATAGCTTCTAATACTGGATGTTGATAAGTACGTCACCTGCTATATGTTATCAAAATTCTGCGCACACAGTAACCCTTGAGATTGTTGCGTTTGTCTCATTCATGGTCAATATTACAAATACCTCAGAAAATTCAGTACCCTAGGCTACAGACTCAGCAGAAATGATGACTTCGGTCTTTGTGCAAAATGTTAAGACAGTTCATGGAACAGGATGCTTGTTAGTCAGGAGACCTCAAATTCTGTTTGTAACTGATCTGAAGTTATGTATTTTTGCGTTTTTCTCATGTGTATGTCTTCCCCACTGCCCTCAGTCTGGCTTTGTAAGACTCGCTGCAATGCATTACAGATGTAGGATTGAAAATTTGTGTTAAGATACCAACTTCCCAAAGACAAGCCATTGCTCAGGTTAAGAGGTTCATAATTGGACTAATCTACAGTTAATACATTCTAAACCATGAAATACTGTATGCAAACATCCATGTGTTACAGGTTCAGAGGACATGGTGTCGGAAACAGTGTCAAATGCAGTGATTCTTGACGAGTCATTTTTCAAACTGTAGCTATATCTTATGTATTAAAGTATAAATGTGCTATATTCTTATAAATATAACCATGCATGTAGCTAAAACTATTTGTTTCCAGTAATGTCCACTACTGTGACTGATCAGTCATCACCATGCCTGATACTGTTTTGCCATTTAATTTTATTCCTCAAGTTTGTATTTCTTTTGGGGCTTTACAGTTTGCTACCTACTTTATGATGCACTTTTCATGTTGAAAGAAATTAAAAATAAATTGGAAGATTTTTAGAAACTCACAGGGAGACTGAGTTACAAATGTTAGCTTTAGAATGGGATGAAGTAAGATAGTATTGACTTTTTTTGCTCTTAATGCAATTAACATGCAATTTACCATAAAACTAAATGCTCTATTGTAATGGAATGATTTTTGTGCTGTCCTACCTTTAGTAACCTAGAAGTGAATTAAGATGGTATATAAAAGTATTAAATATTGGAAATATTAAAAATTAGACAAAGTACTAATCTTCAGGTCAGAAATCAGACTCAGATTTCCCAAGCTTTAGACATGGATCTCTGATCTGGGTTTCTGCTTAGGTCAGCTGAAGCAGGGAAGCTTGTGCTGAGGTATGAGTAACTGGTTGTTCAGTGTCTTCACAAGGGAAAAATTTGGAATCTCTCCTGGATTGAGTACACGTTTGATATATGAAAAGTGCTAATTACAGAAGCTTTCTATAGCACCACACCTACTATCCCAGGTTAACTGTGAGTATAATCTTTGAACAAGAAGATGTACACAGGTGCACATAAGAAGTGCAAGAAACATTCCAGAATCTCCAAATTATAAAATGAAACTGAAAAAATTATTAAAAACCCTGCTTTAAAACAGGTTATAGAAGACAAAGTGTGAGTATAGGAAACAAATAATCTTTATGTACATTTTTGTTCTGACACATATTTTGGGAGATTTTCTTGGTAGTCATTTTTTTTTCATTTGCAAGAACAGAAATCGTGAAAATGCCACTTCCCACATGCCAGAGAAAAATACAGTTCCATTCTTTCTGGCTGAAAAAAGGTGACAAGTAGTTTTAATATTAACTACGAGCTTTTTAATATGAGTGCGAGGGTTTTCTGCTGAACCTTCTGTCTCTTTTGATTGCAGAAAGCCAAATTCCGCAGCCTCCTGAGCACTGCTGAGGACGAGGTTGCCTGCTGCTTGCTGAAAAACTACCGGCCTCCGCAGCCTTTAAAGGGACGAGAAGTCAGAAGGAATTAAAGGAGTAAAGCCACAGTAGTCTCCCTCTGAAACCAAAGGCTGAATTAATTGTAGTAGTTAATATACTTTGTGATTTTTTTTTTTTTGTGAGCTGTTTTAACAAATAGGTGTTGTTTTATTACTGGTTACCACGCAGACATTTCTTACAGACGAGTATGTCCTGAGTTGTTGCAGGTTCATTGGTGTTGACAGGTCTGACTGTGTTTGGGTGTGTTGGTTTGGGAGCGTTGAGGCATTGGTGTTGGCACTGCATGCACAGAGGGCAGTGCTAATCGTGAGGGTCAGGTGTGGTGAAGGAGTTGTCCAAAATTTGCCACCAAATTACTGAACAGGATCCCTGATATTAGCGTCAGTAAAGGATGTTCTGGGATTATTCTTCTGGTCTCTAACATAACATTTAGCTTCTATATAACACTTCACACTGTAATTCTCAAGAAAAAAATATTTCAAAGCTGATTTCATTGCCGACTTGTGCAATAGCATGCTCACCTTCCTATAAAAAGCAATAATGTCTAACAGCATTTAAGTAAAACAGATATTTATATGATCCTGTTATTCTGACTACTTCACAGCAGTAATAATGTACTGATTGATTTTTTTTAAAAAAAAGCAAATGTTAATTATTTTGTGTATTGCAGGATCGTGTCAGGTGGATTAGGTATTCCTGAATTCCAACACGTACAGTGATAAAATTGTCCTGAAACCTTAAAACTGCAAGGTGGAAGGGCATAGAGGTAACTGTTCATGTCTAAATCCAGTCCGTTGCATTTGGTGCACATCTGCAGCTGTAACACTATGTGCATGTAGCATCGGACTCCTACCACTTAAAGTCGGGAGGCAGGCGTAGCAGTTGCTCCAGACTGTTTCATACTGGGCATGTGGCACGCTGCAGCGAGACATGTGCTGTATCCCTCACATCTTGCAGTGGAGCACAGCACTACTCAGGTGTGTAATGTCTCCTAAGTGCTGGCTGATATTCTGCTGTCATAGCTGAACTTGGGTGGTTGCACTTCTATTCCAAGACCAAAGACAGCAATTAGAGCAAGCCAAAGAAATCAGTATCAAGTCAATATCTAATAAAAGGTCAGCCCTCAATAGCAATGTGTTGAAATGTATGTCAATTTATGAATTGACTTGAGCCTGTGTTTCTCTCAGGAGCTTTTGTTATCTGAAAATAATTATTTGGTTTACTTCAGATTTATCTTTTTTATTTTTAATGAACTTGCCATAGGATGTAGTTTAGCGTAGGATTAGATTTACCCTCAGACTGTGAAAACCAGTGGTACCTGAAAGAGGCAGCTAGAGGTTTCGTGGGCAGCAACTACCACCAATCTCTGTAGCACTTCTGACCAACTCATCTTCCATGAATGCTCTCCATGAATTTGGGTTTTTATAGGTTTTAGACAGTGCCTTTTACCTCAACAGGTCTTTTGATGTCAGATGGACAAACATAAGGGAAATCACAATCAGGATTGACTTTATATACCTTCTTATAACTGAATAAATTAGACATAGAGACATAGATATTTTAGCTTAGTTTAAGATGGGTGCATTTTTTTGTTTTCTTCTCCCCAGAGTATAGCTACTATTGCTGCAAGGCTTCTCAATGCCTTCTGAATGTTTTCTGAAGGAAAGAACACAGATAGACCATGAGAGAAATAACAGGCGTTTGGCAGAGGCAGCAGGTAAAACCACAGGGGAAAGACCTGCAGGCACTTTTTGCTCTCTGGCATAGGGAGAAGAATGCAGCTGAAAAGACCTCAGGTCGGTTCTTTCTGAATGAGGACATCTGGAAAATGTGCATGGAGAGAGCGGGAGTGTGTTGCGTGTTTGAACACCCCTTTTTAGACTTAGTGTTGGATCTGATATGTTTCCCTGTCATGTGAGTAGCTGCAGAACATGAACAAAATGTTTACAAATCGCACGAAGGTTATAAAGTTTGTTTGCCTCAGAAGGGAAAGTCATAAGGTGCTTCATATCAGAAACAAAAGTTTTACATGTTTTTTACATATTGAAAACAGTGGAGTTGATCCAGTGCTTTGATATTTATACGGATTTTATCAAAATAAAAAATGGATTTTATGAATGTGTCTTGTATTTTATATTTAAGAGATTAAAGTTTTACAGAGAAGCCTGCAGTTTTATAATTTGCACCTGCAGCTCTAGTTTTGGAAAAAATTGTCACCCCTCATTTGAAGTCTATCCTTGGGCAGCGTAGTATTTGCTATCTTTTTTATGTTCCAAGTAAAATGTCTTTCGCAGTGGTAAGACATGCAATCAGTTGTACATAAAGTTTCTGATAGCACTTGTTTGAACTATTGACTATTTTTATAGTTATGCAAGTCACCTTTAGAAGAGGATGTAATTTGCAGTAATTTTCCTAACGTAGAGATGCTGTGTTCACGTTAGATTGACCTAGCATCTGGGCTGAAAGCTAGTGGAGGCATCTGAAAAAGACTAGAAGTGCTCAGTTGCCCGAAGCCCCTTGGGATCACCTTCCCAGATTATCTATCTGCTGCAGCTGTAAGGTGAGAGCATGGATCCAGTCTCGGCACAGAGCACTTGGTTGCACCCTCAGCTGCTAACTTACTCTGTGCCCCAGCTGTGCTGAATCTCAACCGGGCTACACAACGTGCTTCCAGGGAATGAAATCTCAGGTGTGGACTCCGTGCTGTACTAAGATGACCCTAGAGCAAACAAGGCTAAAATACGTCATCACCCCCTCCAGCTGCAGGTCTCTTTGATCAGCTGTTTACCCTCTGACACACTTGGAGCCTTTATACTAAGAAGAATGAAATGCTCAGTGATCAAACAACATGTAGGATATTTGCTGAAAATACTAGCTGTCAGTAATTGTATATGGCTTCATGGTTGGTCACCCGTAAACTAATTCTCAGAATTTAGTAAACTGCAGTAGAGCCTTGGGGTCAGCCCTGCTGGTTTTGGCACAGAAGGGAAGCAGTGCACTCTGCTGTGTTTATAGCCTTCACCAGTCATGCTCACAATGTCTTTCATGTTGCAAAGACAGAGGTTAACATCAGCCTGGAAATTTTCTTTATGTCAAAGAAAAAACCTGGGAGGTAGCCGTCTTTGCTTCTGGAGTACAGTGGGCTGAAGATCGGGCAGACGTCTGTTTGCTGCCATACATCCACTTGCTACATACCTGTGCTTCTCTGCCCCTGCGGAGATTTGTCTCTGTTGCTTCAGCAAGGAGGACTTTGCTGGTCTTCCAGACATGAACTGGGACCTAAAAGAATTCAAGAAATCAATTCCAGGAAAAAAACCCAAATCTTCCAAATAATCAAATTTGAAATACCTTCACTGAAAAAAAGTGGACTATGGCATATGAATAAAGTAACATACTAGAAAGAAATATGTAATACATTTTTTTTTATCTATTGACCAGTATAAAAAAAGCATTGTGACAATCTCCTTTATCAATCTGCTGCTAGATAGACTACATCTAACTTCTGCCTGAACTGTTATATTTTGTTGCTCCCCCCACAGTCTGATCTTGCTTTGTAGTTTTGTCTATGGAGTAAAGACTTTGTTCCATTTTTGGTTTTAATGATCATTGTTTGCCTATGCTCTTTTTTCTGTGATTCTTCTTTCCTGGCATCTCTTTAGGACTTAGGATAAAAACCTTAATTTATAAAGCATCATACCAAAATACAATAGCATTGTATTTCCACCAGTGTTCTGCACGTATAGATAGCCTGCTTGCTTTTCAGATTCAGTCTTGCTATTGTTTATTTGTACAGATCTAATCTCTAATAGAGATTTGGTCCATGACTCAATCTTTTAGATACTGTTATTTCTGTACTTTTTATTCATGAAGTACTTAAATTGTGGACAGACAGCCTTTTCTGGGTGTCTGCTGTCTTTGTGAGACAGGAGATAATGGTGAAGTGCTTAAACAAAACTGTTTCTAAATTAATGTTTTGTTTCCTATGTCCATCAACCTCTCCATCATTCATGCCAAGTACAAGTTTTCACTACGGTGAAACTTTGCATGTATGATCTGTGTTGGCTTCTCTTGTGTAGCAGAATTTGAGGACAGGGAATGTCTCTGACAGGAGAATACTGGATTGTTGTAAGAAAATAAAAATTCTCTGCCCCTGCTTAACAGAACTGATGTGCTGTACAGTCAATTCCTGTATCACTTCTATTTTATCAAATTTCATGCACATACTTTGGTACAACAATCTGAATAATTTGTAGATGCTCCTGACAGTTTCATTTTTCAGATGTAAATGATACAGGTTGCATGAAACAGATAGATGAAATGTATTTTTTATGAATACCTGATATAATTTTTTTCTGTTTCTGATTTGAAAATATTTTTAATAAAGCATCAGCCATTTAAATGTCAACATTTTACTTCTGTTTCTTCACTTTTCTACAGTGGGATGAATGCCAGACAATAAATTTTTTTAAAAAACAACACTTTGGCATTTTTGAGGAAAAAAAGCAACAGAGTCATCCCTGAGTTTGTTCTTGATTTCTGTTTTCCCTTTGCCCCATTTAAATTCCAGATTCTTATGTAGTTTGTGATCTCATGAGTAAATAGTTTACTTGGAAATCACTAAGAATCTCAGCATTCAAACTTATATTCCAAAATTGTTTTAAAATGCTCATGGTTATGTAGAAAACGTAGGTACCTATGTATGAATAGCTGAAAAAATGTTGCGTCCCCAGGTCTGCAGATGGCAGTGGCAATCCACAAATTGCTGAAGATTATTTAAATAGTATTTGTTACTTATTTCATTGCAAATACATTTATAAATAACCACAATATCTTACTGTTGTATCAAATTAAATAATACAAGAGTCACGGTACTGTGCTATTCAATAACATATTAGTTTTGAAGTCTGTTAAAAATGCCTGCAGAGAGTAGTCATGGAACTTCCAGCCTGTTGACCCAATGCCCGAAGGAAAGCTTGAATCGCTCCAAGTAGTTTAGCTCATCTTCATGACTGGTTCAGGGGACCTTCATAAG